ACACACACACACACACACACACACACGGCCTCCTTTTTGCATCCGCTCCCGCCTCGCTGCCCTTCCTGTACCGCTGCTCTCGCTTGGCCATCCTCCATCATGAACGACCTTGAGGACGCCTTCGGTGGGCTGGATTTCTCCTCGTCCGACTCGGACGGCTGTGACGAGGGCGCGGCCTCGGTCTCCCCCTGTCAGCGGGCGTCCTCGCAGGCTGCCAAGTCGAGTTACCTTCCCCTGCTTCTACGCCCGGGCGTACGTGAAGGCCCTCCTCCCCCTCCTCCCCCCCCCCCCCCTTTCCCTCTCCCAAGGTGGATGCTAACATCGCAAGATACACGCGTAGTGGTTCATGCCCGGCAACGCCGACCAGGCGACCTGCCGTCGGGCGGTCGGCGCTCCAGCTGACCGGCCCCTGGGCGCAGGCCCCCAGGACGAGGGCCAGTCGGTCCTGTCTCGGAACCGCCTCAACGCGGCCTACCTTCGGCGAGCCTTCGAGGCGCTGGTTTCGGTGGTGCCGCTTGCTCTGGCCCAACTCGAGCCCTTCGCCAAGGAGTCGGCTGCGGTCAGTCTCGACCGGCATGAGGCCCATCAGCTAGCCCTGCAGGAGGCCCCCGGCGCTTCGGAGCGTCTGGCACAAATCCGCGCTCGGCAGCGCCGCCTGGCCCTGCGCTTGGTTTTGCCAGTGCCGGGGTACTGCCCCACGACACTGGCCCCGGGGGAGGATTTGCATGGGCGCGCCGCCGATGCCACCCCTCTGGCACTGAATCCCCCGCACAGCCTTCAGGCCCTGGAGACGCTTGTCCGGGCCTGCCTGAAGGCTCTGCCGGGGATTGCCCCGCCGGCAGCCCGCCAGGACACGATGACCATGGCCCTCTACCTGGGGGTTGGAGCTGTGGCACTTGCCGGCCAGGGGCCCTACTTCGCCCCGGGGAATACCTGCACCGATGCGCTGGAGCTCCTACGCTTGGCCGAGGCGGCTGGCATGGACCGGGCCACCGTGTGCATGGTGGCCCTGCACCTTGAGGCCCCGGCCGGAGCGCTGGCGGTTGAAACCCTGATCCGGATGCCGCGCCCGGTGGCCGAGTCCATCGCCCCCCTGCTGCTGAGTATGTGCCGGCTGCGGCAGCAGCTCCTGGGCCCCGAGGCAACCGGCGGTCTGGCCCCCGGGCCGGGTCGGCTGCGTGCTCTCGTTTGTACGTGTTCCCATGGCCGCCCTGCCTGGCTTTGTCCGTTCCCATTTCTGACCCTCCTCGCGACTGGCAGTCCTCCTGCTTGACTACTACCTCGCGCTCCAGGCGCAGGCGCAACTCCCGGCGCTGTGGCTGGGTCTGGCCGACGCGGCATCCCTGCTGGCCGATGCCGGGGCTCACATCTGGCCGGATGGCTCGCCCACGCGGGTGGCCCTGCGCTGCGTGCGCGCCCTGGCCGAGTGGAGCGCACGGCCGCCGCCGTCCTCCTTCCGGGCAGCCGGCCTCGGTGAGGAGGGCACCCGCACGGCTCTGGGCGGGCCGCTGGCCCTCCTCTCGCGGGCCCCGGTCAGCTGTGCCCATTATCAGGCCCCTGACTGGGCACGCGTCCGGGCTGGCGAGGCCGTGGAGGAGGCCCTCCCTGCCAGTCGGTGGGAGTCACCGATAGCCGAAGCGGCCTTCAGCCCGGCCCCCGGCACGGCGGTCCCTTCATGCTCTTTGCCCAGCCGCCCGGCGCACTTGGAGGCCCTGCGGGCCGGGCTCCTGGCCGGTGTCCGCCTCTCCTCGGCTGCCACCACCAGCGCCACGTCCACACACGAGGGCCTTCTCCTGGGTCTCGGGTGTGCCCTGCTGGCATCCTTGGTGGCCGACGTGGTTCAGGCGCCCCCGGCCGACGGGCAGTCAGCCCCGGTGGCGGCCTCCGCCGCCCCGGCCAGTGAATTTGAGTAAGTCCGTCTCACTGTGTGTGTGCGTGCCCCCCAGGCGGGATCCACGGGACGGACACAAAAATAGACCAATACATCGTGTAATGCACCATGCCCCCCGTGTGTCCAGCACTCCGCCCCTCCTCGTGCCATTTCCACGCCCATGCCAGCAACCACACCCCTGCATTTGCACAATACGCATAACAAACACCAGGCGTTTCGGGGTGCGAAGCTTCCCGCCGGCCGGTTGCCCCGAACGCGGGCTCGCCCCCCCCGGGCGCCGGGCTGCGGAAGATCGGACATGCAGCTCCCAACGCAACCATATGTGTCGCCAGACGAGAAACGCTGCGCCGCGGGTTTTGGGAGCATTCGCGTCCCGGGG